GGGGGCGTGGTGAGAGGTTCTCTCCCGAAAGTCTGAAACTGGACCAATCTTTTTCTCTTCTTTAAAATCTGTCTCTTTCTTGCTGGCCAGTCCTTCTGAAGTTCCAACCTTTGACGTGATTTTCTCTGTTAGGAATTTGTCATGCAAATATCTGTATGTCTGTATGTCTTTCTGACCTTCTGGCTCGGCGACTCTCCTTTTGGCTTCGTCACTTCTGAATCTTTTTCCCCCCAGCTGCGGTGCGGTGGGGTGGGTGGGATAGGGTTCGATTGTACTTGGCTTGTTCTGTCTCCCGGTAGCCTGTACAACATACACCTGAACAATGAAGCAAATTGAAAGCCAGCAGTTTACCCCTCCCCTCCCTCGTTGGTCTCAGTCTGGAAGCAGTGATGCTGTGGGTGGCTCTGCATTTGACACTTGCTTCCTCTTTGCTTAACCTTGGCCAAGGCACTTCTCTGCACCTGAATTGCCTTATCTTTAAAAACTAGATTACCCTTTTAGCTCGAAATCTATGATTTTCATAATAATGCCTAGCAGAGATTTGTTTCATCTCTATTTAAAAGTTTACATGTCATATTTTTAAAAAGACATCTATTTGATAATGTCTCATAGCATATGGTAGAGTCAAATATTTGATTAGAATAATGTTAAAGACGTCTGAACCCAGTATTTTCTTTTTTTGCAGTAGTTATAAAATAATTAAAATGTACATATATGCCTTTAAATTTTAAAAAAAAAAGCAGTTCCAGCCATTTGGTTATATTTTGATTATATATTCCGTGGATTCTTTTCCCCTGGTGGGGGCCATTGTTCAGTAGCTGGTGTGTGCCATCTCAGGCTTGAAGCCACTCTGTGTTTCTAACATGTACAAACCATAGTTTGCAGCTTTATGAGAACGAGCCAAACTAGGAGGCCTGGAGGTCAAGGAGATGAAGCTCACTCACTTCCTGGAAGGTTAGAATTGTTTTGGTACCATATTGGCCACTTCTGGCCCATAGGGTTAGGCATTGGGGGGAAAATGGTATTCTTAAACCTCTCGACTATTATTGGCGATTAGTAAGGTGGGTTTGTCCTGCCAGTGGGACACCAGCCCCTGAACATATGTGTTGTTCTCTTGGGTTTGTTTTTGCATTTCAAAGTTCTTCCCCAACTCCCCTCTTTATGTCAGAATCAGGACTTGAAAGTCCTCTCTACCAGAGCACTAGAGTGTAGCAGGAACCAGATTCAAGTGGAATTGGGAAATGTTTAACAAAAGAAATAAAAATACAGGAGAACATTAATGATGTTACTATTTGGTTTTTGAAGTCCATGTGCGGCCTGCTGGGATCCTTAGTTTAGGAGTTTGATGTCACTGCCCTATTCCATTAAAGGTGCATTTTTTCCCCCTGTAGGGTTAAACTCTGCTTTGCTGGATAAGGTATCCTTGGTTGTAAACCTGTATTTTTTGCCTTTTGGAATACTGTATTTCCAGATCCTTCCTTATTTGTAATGCAGGTTGCCAGGTCTTAAATGACCCTGCCTTCGGTTCCTTGTGTAACAGTGATTACTGACCCCCACTTTCTGCAGGTCAAGTATATTACATTTCACCCCTTGACAAGGATTCTGTGGTACCCTTGAGAAGGTCTAGGGGTGATGTGTATAGTTTCTGTCATTGGCTGAAGCCCCAGTCAGTTCATGTTCCCCCAATTTTAGGGGTCCCCGGAAGCTTAGTTCCATTTAACCACTTAACAATCCAGTTAGCTTTTTACAAAGTAACATTTACTTCCAAAGTATAGCAAGAATAAACCCACAAATAATAGTCCCCATAACCCCTTAGTTGGAGGACAGGAGGTAGATTGATATCACAGTTTAGCTCAATTCCTATATAGCATTAATCCCACTAAGTTCTAAGTCCAACCCCTACCCCCCACTTTGGGCTTCTATCCCAGGACCCTGGTTTCCCAGAGCTTCCCTACTGTGCTAGTGGCACCATCTGGCCTGCAATCCTGGCTCCAAGGTCCCCTGACTCAAGCCTCTGGCCGTTCACTTCCTGCACCTTGGACTGAAAAGGACAAATGGAACACACCCAAACCCCAGGCCTGTTTGTTAGGACCATAGACCTAAAAGGAGGGGGAGGTCCCCTTCTCTCCCCAGTTTAGTTCATGGTCCCCACCCCCAGGTGCCTCTTGTCAGGTGTTGTCACTACAAAGCCAATGGACCAAGGCCACCACAGGATGTCTGATGTCCCCCTCGTGGGGGGTGATCTGGGCATGCCCCAAAGCCCCATTACAAATAAAATACAATCCATAGGATTACAAAGGAAGTCAATTATACGAAAATACTATCTGGAGCTGTGATCACCTGCAATCTAATAGTGAGTCTAGTAACTACAATCATTTCAAAGTCGTGTTGAGTGTAAATGTAACAGGAGTAATGGGATGGGAAAATATCTGAGATTTCTGTTGGTGACAAAGTCGAGGGGTCCAGCTAGTATTGTGGTTTGGTACCTATATTCATGTTTTAAGGAAATGCTAAATTGCAGTTAGAGATTAGTGAAAATAATGACGTCATTTCCCCCCCCACTCAAACTCCCAGACTCTTGTCTCATTCATGTTCCGTGGATTCCAAGTTAAGAACCCCTGATCCAGAGTTTTGGGCACTGGTATATTTCTGTATTGCTATATAGACTTTATCCCTTATTTTTTAGGACACCATGAAATTCTATTATGTTTGGATTCCATAAATTAGCCACTTTCCCTTTGGACATATAGGTTGTTTCAGATGTTTGTTCCTGGTTTCACATATTCCTCTATTATGTTAAAGAAAAATCCTTCCAGTTACATATTACTTTGGATTTTTAACATGAAAAAAATGGTCGTATGTTATTAAAGGCGTTTTCTATAGTGACAACATATTGTAGAGCAGACTACCCCACACTCCTGAATGGGCAGCCCAAACCAGATTAAAGTATAATTGGGAAGTATTTCACAAAATAAATAAAAATACAGATAATGTTAATTTGGTTTCCTAAGTTAATATATGGCAGGATATGCAAGGATCTTTACTTTTAGTGGCCCTATTTCTATTTGAGTTTGCCACCATTGTTGCGGAGGAAAGACTACTGGATTTGGAGTCAGGAGAGTTCTCCGTTTGAAGTCTAAGCCTGGCACCCTGGCACGTGCTTGTGGGGCCTTGTGCAAGTCATTTAACTTGTTGGAGCCGTAGTTTTTCCATATGTAAAATGGTAATAATAAATACTGGTACTATTTGCCTTTCAGGGTGCTTTTGAGGATGTTTATGATGTGCTTTGGGAACAGGACATGTGTGCAAATATAAACTTATTATATAAATGTCAGGTATTTACAACCATCATAATTATTTTTATGAATTTTATTTTATTATGTGGGCTCTTTTCCTAATGTTGAAATACCCTTACATTACTGGTGTTACTTCTGTTTAATTATAGGGCTCACGTTTTGGTTTTTTTTCTATTGCTGTATTTTATTTGCCAGTGTTTGTTATATCTAATATTTTTGCATTGATATTTCTTAACACTATTGATCTGTAGTTCTCTGTCTGCCTTATCCTCAACAGGTCTGCACATCAGGACCATATTTACTTCATAGAGTCAGGGAGAGCACCATCTTTTTCTTTGGTTTTGGACTGTTTTGGTATAATTCATTTCTGAATACATATGGTCCTAGCATCATCCTTTTATCTGGCAGCTCAATAATGATTTGCTCAGCTATTCTTTCTGATAGTGTTTTTGTATAGGCTATTTATTGCTTATTTTGTCAATTTGGGTATCATTTTTTGTAAATAATTATCTCTATATCCTCTGTTTTCTTGCCATCTCTGTATGTAATATTCTCAATTTTCTCTGTATCATCTTCATTCCTTGTGATTTTCCCCCTTTCTCTTTTCTGATTTTATATTTGGGTTTTCTTCTTTTTGATTACATTTGCTAATGATTTATCCATTTTATTTGTCTTTCTTAAAACAGCCAGCTCTTTTATTAATTCTGTTGTCTTTTTATTTGAAAAGTGTTTTGGTTCATTTCTCCTCTAATTCTAGCAATTTTCTGTTTTGGTCTCATTTTGGAGGCATTGATCTGTTCATTTTCAGTTTTAAAAAAATACGTCAACTCAAATACTTCCTATTTTTTCTCTGGTTATAAATTGGCCCCTGAGTATTGCTTTAGCTATGTCCAATAAAGTTGATATTATATAATTGTGGTTTTCTGTAATTAATTTGATTTTTAACACATGCATTATTGAGACATGTTTTAGTTTCCATAAAGGCCTTCATTTATTAAGTATATTTCTCCTTTTGATAACTTTTTATTACATGATGATTTTAAAAATATGTTTAAAACTTATTTATTTTTTTTGTCCATTTTTGTGAATGATTTGTATGTATTTGGAAAAAAAGTATATTTTCTTCCTTCTCCCCGTTGAGTTCTCTCTATCAAATCTACTTTTTTTAGCACTCTGTTCACATCTGTAATTGCTTTCTTATTAATCTTTTTTATTTGATTTGTCATTATGTTAGCAGGATGTTGAAGTTTTCCACTGTTTATTGTATTACAAGCATTTTTTTTGGTAACTCAATTACATTTTCATTTATAAATTACCTTGCTGTGTCATTAGGTACATATATGCTCACTATTGATATCCTCTTCATTGTCAATGACACTTTTTTATTTTTCTTCATTTTTAGATATTTTTATTTCTGTTAAGTTCAGATATTTGAATAAAAATACAATAAGTGAAAAGAAACTAAGCAAAAAGTAATTGTGAATGATTATAATGTAACTCTGCACATCTTTTATTTACCAGAAAGAGACTGTGTGTAAACTTTTTCTGATGTCTTAACAAAGATGGTTTATGCATTTGACATAATTCCATTGCCATTAATATTGTCTTTCTGTCTTTTTATGAGAGGCAGTGTGGCAAAGTGAATAGGGAGCTAGTCTTGGATCCAGGAAGACCTGGGTTCAGGGCCTACCTCTGACTGGTCATGTGACTGTGGGCAACTCACGTGACTTGTTAGTTTTCTAGGCAACATTCTAAGGCTCCAAGTTGCTGTCCTTCCTTGGTAGGGTGCGGGGTTTCCTTACCTCAGAGTTCCTTATTACAGTGAAATGCTAGGTCCCATACTCATCCTGCCCTAGTCTTTCACAGTTGGAAGCAGTGGGTTTGTTCTCCTTTGACTTCTTTCTTCACTTGGTATCACTTTACTTCCTAAGTTTTCCTTGAGGTTAAGAATGTTTCCGTTTTTTGTGTCCCCAAGATGAAGTATGATACTTACAAATCCTTACATGTGTTAAGTTTTTAAATAATTATTTGAATTGAATTTTAAAAATTCTTCATGTTTGCCATTTTATTATGCAATGACATTTAATTGCCTTCATATAACATCATTTTTTCATTCATTCAGTAAACATTTTTTAAGCACCTGCTATTTGCCAGGCACTGGGCTAAGTGCTAGAGATACAAAAAGAGGCAAAAGATAGTCTCTACCCTCAAGGAGCTCACAATCTAATGGGGGAGACGACATGCAAACAAATACATACAAAGCAAGCTATATATGGGATAAATAGAAAATAATCAACAGGGGGAGACACTGGAATGAGGAGTGGTTGCGAAAGGCTTCCTGTAGAATGGACTTTAGTTGGGACTTAAAGGAAGCCAGGGAGGAGAGTAGGTGGAGTGGAGGAGGGAGGGTGTTCCAGGCATGGGGCACAGCCAGAGAGAATGCTTGGAGCTGAGAGATGGAGAGTCTTGTTCGTGGAACAGCCAGGAGGCCAGAGTCACTGGATCAAAGAATACGTGTCCGGGGGAGTAATGTGTAAGAAGACTGGAAAGGTAGGAGGGGTCAGGGCATGAAGGGCTTTGAATGCCAAACAGAGCATTTCGTATTTGTTCCTGGAGGCATAAGGAGCCCCTGTTATGGTTTGGGGTGCTGGGAACCCTGAAATGCAAGGATACAGGGCGGGTCTACCTCGAAAGAATTCGACTACTCAAGCCTTCCAGTCAATAGATTCCAGTGCCAATAGAAGCAGGCGAGATTCTAAGTGAATCTGTGCAATTTAATGGGGGTAAGATTGGTACTTATATATAAGAAAAGACAGTGAGAAGATCTGGATGGGATTAAG